CCGTACCGATCTGAGGGTGCCCCAAATTAATATTTCCACCTGCTTTTTTTTTTTGCTTTCTTCCTCCAGGTTTTCATCGAGAATCGGAAGAGTCGAGTTCCCTTTTGCAGAGAGCGGTTGCGGTGCTGCAGAGCTCTTACTTGGACTCTACATCTCAGGACAGTTTTCAGTACAGCCAAGCAATTTTAGTGGAAAACGATGTTTTTCTAAGTGAGGTAAGGCTGGTCGGGGGAGCAGGGTGTTGTTGCTGGCAGGTTTTTTGGGAACTGCAAACGCCTGCAAATGCTGGTTTATTGGCCAGCCTCTTTCCTTTGCAGCATGTGGCTGATCTCCCCCGCTTCCTAGAGCCCCATTTGCAGTTCCTGACTGAAAGGAGCCTTTTCTTTGCTTTCTTGCACTTCTTTCTTCCCAATCTGATCAGGAACAAAAGGTCCATTCAGCCAATGTCGCCAAACATTGCGGCAGTTCCTGGTGCAGACTTTGGGGCGGGTTGAAATCCCGATTTGATACCCAGCAGCAGAGCTTTAACGTTGCTGTACTTCTGCTAATTCACTGCAAGACGCATTTCCATGTGGTATTTGTTTTATCTGCCCTGTGCAGGCACCAGTTTTAACCCCAATTCCCTTTCTCCAGCTGATGGGGCCTGTACAGAACCACTTTTAAAACGCCTTCATCCCTACAGTGCCACTGTCACTGGCATGGAAGAGAGGTTGCCCCCTCTGGGAAATGGAGATGACCAATAATTCTGCTTGTTGGCATGAATTAAATATATTGCTTAGACATTTTGGCTGCCTGCATCTGGGATAGTCACTGGATACCTGCTTTCCCAGTTTTGTATCAAGTAATCTGTTGATTTGCCTGTGAGTTTGAAAGCCAAAATAAGCAAAAGCAATGATGAGGTGGTGGTTTTCTTATCTTCTAACCCTGATTAATAAACCCCATCCTTCTACAACTTCTTTAATAAGGACTCAAAACATCACAGACTCAGACCCAGCTTTATCTGCTCCCATGATGTTCTTCCTGTCTGCACTGAGGGAATGCTCTGCTTTGATTATCAGACAGAAGAAATTGGAGTAGTGTGTTATTTGGCTGCAACCAAACCCTCTGAGCTGTAGTTGCATGATAGCACCTGCCCTTTAATCAAATAGTCTTAAGCTTTTTGGTCAGTGGAGAGAGAAAAAAAGGAGAGGTGCCTCCAAGCATCTCCGCTTCACTTGGCTCTGCCATGAATGGACTAAACCAAAATGTTGTTGTTGTTGTCTTCTGCAGCTCAAAGCTTTTGCCCAAGCAAAGGAAGCCGCCGGGTACAGCCAGGAGGAGCTGGAAGAGACCTTTGCATTTCTCCTGTTTGATAATGAAGAAGAGGTAACCCAAAATGTTTATTCAGCTTGAAAAGTTTGATGCCTAGTGCCTGCACGTGTGCTCCGTTCCACCAAAGCCCAGCAGATCTGTTGACTGCAGTGTCCTGGCTCTTTGTACCCCAGTTACCAGTGCAATTACTTCTAAATATATATAAATATAAAGTATAAATAGACCAAAACCAGTTCTAAAAGCAGCTCCTGGGTGGTTTTAGTGATGGATCTTATTTTTGCATCCCTCCAGTCAATTACTCTTTGAGATTTGGCTGCTTCCTTTGCCCTCTGCAGGGAGACAAAAGAAATCTCCCTTTGTCTCGCTGCATTTATGGCCAAGTACAGGCAAGTGAAACCTTTCATGTGAGCTTAGAAGAGAAAAGCACCTTAGTGACAGGTGGTTTTGGGCAAAACCTCATTATTTTGCCAGTTAGGTGGAAAAAGAGCCTGACACTGCTATTGGGAAAGTTATTCCTGCCCATTTTTCACAAGGATCCTTTTGATTTTGTGAAAAGACTTTGTCTACACGAGGATGCTCGGGGAATCTAGCAGAAGTTCACTTTTAACGTGATTTAATGATGCCATCCCAGTAGAGATGCTTTTGTTGAGGATGAGAGTGGCCCGGACCCAGTTTATTTCTGTTAGTTCAGGTTAAACTACAGCAAAATAAGCAATTTTCAGCCTCAGTTTGGGTGCCTTTTAGGAGGCAGAAGTTAGGTGTGATGAGTGCCCTACGTTGCTTGTAAAGGGCTTGACAACAGTTTGAGTGGTTTGCTTTCATTTCTCGCCCGTAATGGGTTCAAACCGCTCCCGTTGTCGCTCTTTGGTCAACATTTATTTGGATTTTGCGTGCTTTGATGAATCTGCTTTGGACGTGGGTTAAATCAAAGCCGCTGAGGTGCTCCCAAGGTATAATTGTGCCTACGGAGGAGCGAGCACAGATTAGCAAATGTCTTTTGCCTTCATGTCAGCCCCCTTGCATTTCTTTCTCCATAAATTTCCCCGTGCAGATAAAGAAAGTGCAAAGTGCAGCCTCGTGCTTGTGGCGGTTTCTGGAGGTGCTGGATTTTTTTTCCAGATTTTTTTTTCTAAGCCTTTGCTTCCGCTGTGGTTTTTGCAACAACACCTGATAAATACAAGTATTTAAGTATCTGAAACAACACATTTTCACAGTATCACAGAATCACAGAACGTTAGGGATTGGAAGGGACCTCAAAAGCTCATCCAGTCCAATCCCCCTGCCGGAGCAGGAACACCCAGATGAGGTTACACAGGAAGGCGTCCAGGCGGGTTTTGAACGTCTGCAGAGAAGGAGACTCCACAACCTCTCTGGGCAGCCTGGTCCAGTGCTCTGTCACCCTCACTGAGAAGAAGTTTCTTCTCCAATTGAAGTGGAACCTCCTGTGTTCCAGTTTGTGGCCGTTACCCCTTGTCTTATTATTGTTTGTCACCGAGAAGAGCCTGGCTCCATCCTCGTGACACTCACCCTTTCTATATTTATAAACATTAATGAGGTGTCCCCTCAATTTTCTTCCTGTTGGTTCTTCCTGTGGAAATTGTGTTTAGTTTTCCTGACGCCGCAGGTGTTTTGGGACTGCAGTGATCTGCAGTTAACTTGCAGCATGTGTTTGCCTGTTGCAAGTGTTTTGCCCCTTGTCCTGCTACAGATTTCAGTAGCTGTGTCCCTTATCTTTGAAAATAGATGGTAAAAGAGGCTGTCTCTTCTTTTGAAGGCGAAAGAAGTATGTCGGACGGGCCTCCGCGTAAACAGCAGTTCGATTTCCACGCTTGGTGACCCAGCAAAAGGTAAAATTCAGAGCACCAAGAGACCTGGTTGCTCTTGTGGGGGTATCAACTCCTCTAAAAACAAAAGCAAAAGCCCAGAAAACCTCCTGGTACTGCCTTGTTTACTGCAAAGATCCATGGAAAATCCTGCGTATCTTACATTTCAAACTGCATTTGCTTGGATCAAGCGAGCAGCAGCGTTTTCCTTCTGCCTCCTCAATCAGATGAGGATGAGATCTTCCCCAGGGAATGTTATTGTCTCTTCACCTCTCCATTTCAGGCTTTCTCTCCCTTGTTAATAACAAACTTTGTCGCCTAAGTGGCTTTTTGGCAGCTCTCCCCACCCGTTTGCTCTTCAGCGTCCGTTTGCTGAGCTTTTGCCAGCTGCCTTGTTAAGAACCAGAGCAGATCGTGACACGTTGAAGCCCTTTTCGGGCTCTGCTTGTTCCTTGCCCAAAGATTTGGGGCCTCGAGACGTGCAGCGCGGGACGCGTTACTCAAACCCTGCCAAAAGCAAAACGTCTCCTAGCACTCGTCTCACAACTCTTTGCGGATCAAGGCACCAAGTTAATGAACAAATCATGGCAGTGAATGCAAAACCAAGCAAGAACTGATTATTTATCTGGGTGCATATCTTAGTCCTGATGGATTGAGATGAATATTATGATCTTTCCCCGTCCACGTACTTCTCTACACATCAAATATAAAGCAGGAGTGAAGAGACACCACCTCCCCACTCCCCCCCAGTAAATCCACCTACAATATGCCCTGGGCATGGGAAAGGATGGGAATAAGCCATGTCAGGATGGTCCCTGTCACAGGGTGGAAGGTTCACGTCCTCTTTACAGGGTTTTTTTGACAATCAACTTTACTCCACAGACAATTCACTTTATCTTGCACTGCTTTCACAGGGGTTTATATTTCCAAGTATGCAGACTGCCTTCATCCGAGACCTTGGTACCATGGAAAATCAGGCTATATTGTCATTTGTAAGCTAATTAAGGTAAAAGACAAGTCTTTCTTTTTGACATGGAATGGTTTTCAGAAGTCACTATACAGTACAAGCAGTTTTTAAGGAGGCATTAGCACCCATAACTGTGATGAGGTATAAAAATCAGCTCTGAGAGCTCATTTGGCTATGGGATGTATCAAGCTGGGCTTGGCTGGAGGCCTGCAGCAGCACAGAGGATGCAGAGGACCTTCCAAATTCAACTGAGATCAGAAATTCCCCATAGGGTCACCTTTTTTCCTCGGACTCTCAGGCATTTTGGGGGTTAGAAGCAGTAACCTTAAGGTGGCTGAGATCACAGCCCCATTTCTTTCCTCCATGGTGTGTGTGGTGCCTTTCTCTCCTTCCCCATGGGCTCCTGCTCTTTGTAGCTGGTGTGGAAAACATACTGGTCCCACTGGTTCTCCTGAGCAGCACTGGTTTGTCTGTCATGCCAAGCTCAGACGAGTTAGGCCCTCATTTTTGGAAGGATGCAGATGCACACAGCCTCCTCACAGTGGGGAATGCGGGGAAAAGGAGCATTCAGGCGTCTTTGAAAACAAGTTTCTGCAAACAATTGTGTGTATTCTCTTATTTTCTGGGTATATTTTCTGGCACAGGGGAAGATCAAGGTGGTATCTGAGAATTACACAACCAGCTATACATGTCCATCGCCCGGTTACGACTGCCACGTCGCCGTGAGCAGAAAGAGCATCTCATCAGAGACCAGCCGGTGCCAGGCCTTCGAGCAGAGCCAGGTATGGGTTTGCAACAGGACTCTGCAGAGGGAAACGCAAGCAGGCCCACTTATTCCTTACCTTGTTTTATCATCTGTGTTTCCCTTCTTATCACAGTATTACGTGTATGAAGTCTGTGATGGCAGCACCGCAGAGCGGCCCAGGCAGATCTGCCCATACATAATCATTGCCTGCCAGTACAGGGAGCCAAAGGAAATGCCTGTCTTAGCTATAGAGAGCCTGTAAGCAACTCAGTGTTGTTCCAAAATACCTGATCCCTTTTCTTTTCCTTTTCCTATTGCTAAATGTTCCTCTTTTTCTCTCTTTTTTTTCCTAGACCCGAGTGTAACCACAAAGGTAGGAGCATCTGGTGCTTGGTTTTGGTTTATAAATGCTTGGCTTTGCTTTCCTTTCCTGCTTTCCCTGAACCGTTCTCCCTTTTCCCTGCAGCGTTGTACTGTCCATGGAGGGGACAGCTCTCCATTCGCGGCCAGATTTTATGCAACATCGCCCTGAGGACCCCGTATAGGGCCACAATTCCAGCTCAGCTGTAAGTTGCCCCTTTCTCCTATTTCTGTGTAATCCGTGGAGTGTGAAGCATTACAACCACTCTCGCAGATCATTTTGGGATCACCTTTGGGGATCTGTGTACCAGCAAGAACCATTTTTGTCTCTCCTACCCCATCCCTTTGTTGGTCATTGGTGTCAGGAAGGTGATGCTGGGCAATGTCACAGCAGCAGCTGGATGAGGACATGAAAACAGGCTCTGAACCGCAGCTGGAAGCAGCTGTATTTTGTCCTTGCTTTTTGTTAACTCTTTTGGGTTGTTTATTCTAAATCAATTATTCCTGCCTGGGATTTTTTCTCCTTGTGAGAAAGTTGCCTTCCTGGTGGTGCAGGTATGGTCAGCCAGTTGTGTTTTTAAGTTGACGGGATGGCAAATAAGTTATTGAGGTAACTAGCAGTCAAAAAACTGAGATATTTAAAATCTTCACTAGTCAGAAGCCAACCAGCAGGCAGCAATCTGTGACAGCCACTAACGGAGCCACCAATATCAGTATCTGGAGGTGTTTCCAAACAGGATCCTCAAATCAGCAAAGTGCTAAGCAAGCTGCATCTTTTCCAGCCGTCTCCAGAGCTGCTTTCTCTGGTTTCACAGTGACAGTGCTACCAGTGCTCTTCGTGGTGCTTAATCTTGAGAGCTTTTTATGCTTGAAAGCTCCCTTTCTGCCACTTTATCCCCTCAGGCCTCCCAAGCTGGACATTAACCATGTCATGGGTTTGTCTGACTTGAAGAAAAAGCTGCCAGAAGCTGCATTTGGGAAAAGAAATTACATTGAGAGTGAAGGTGAGGGCAAAACCCACTGGTGTGGTGAGTAACCTCTGCTTGTGCTGTGCCGTGGGAATTGCCACAGGGGACCAGAATTCAGGTCCATGTAGTGCTGGGCCCTGTCTTGGAGAGTGACTGGTTGCAGATAAGTGAGGAAAGATGCCAAGGCAGCACATGGATGTTTTTCTGTCCATACTTAAATGTTTTCCTGGTGGGATATAATCCTTTTTCCCAAAGCAGCCCTTAAATCAGCCCATTCCTGGGAGAGGACAGGGAGGGAGACCCTGATTTGAGGCCTGGGTCTCTGCAAGGTGCCTGACTTTGAGCTGAGAGCGAATGCAGAGAGACAAATTTACCCTTTCCTACAAGATCTCCCTAAAAGGTGAGGGATGCTCCACGTCTTGGGCTCTGACCCAGTGTCTCCTGCATCTGGGCAGATGGAGGGGAGCTGCCAGCCAAAGCCAAAAGACGTGAGCCAAAAGGTTGCCTGCAGTAGCTCTGCAAGTAGTCATAGGTACTCAAGGGGACTGACATTGTGAGAGGAGTCCAGAGACCTTGAAGAGAGGCAGGAAATGCTCAGCAAACAGCAAATAGAGGCACAGATTTTGGCAAAGATCCCCAGATGTGCACATTTTACTGGCATGGATACTGCAGGTTGCACATGGAGAGCTCTGGATGGGATTTGCCGTAGCTCCAGGTGCATTTCCATGTCATCTGGAGCCAAAATAAGTGTGGAGTGCTGCAGTATTGCCTCCCATCTGTCTTATCAGCTCTACTGAGTCAGCTCAGGGCTGACAGCCAGCCTGGTTTGGGTGTTAGCATTCAGCTTACAGCGCAGATGGACACAGGGTGGTGCCAGGGCAGGTGAGGAAGCAGGAGAAGTCAGGGAGGCCACAGCAACACTTGATAAAGGTGCCATGGAGCCACAATCTCAAGATTGGCTGTGGACAGAGAGGAAATACTTGCACAGAAGAATTTTGCTGTGCAATTCAAGAGGGGTAAGTTGAGATCTTGCCTTTGTTAAACTCCTTTGGGGATCAGAGTGTGGGATAAGGATGCTCCATAGCTGCAGAGATAAGATAGGAAACATCTCCTGCAAACCATGGCTTGAAAAGGAGGCTCACTGTGGTATGAATGTGTATACCAGCTTAGGAAATCTTGATTAGTTCTTTTTTAAATCAAGTATTTCCACCAATCTCACACCCATCTTCCTTATTTGTTCAGAGTTTGTACAATTTCAAAGTCAAATTCTCTCTCTTTTGTCTGCAGTTTGCTTTCAGGGTGTTTACTTCAGTCTGTACGAAGTGGAAATATCAAACAAGGATCAGTATAAAATGGATCGGTTAATAGAAAATCTGAAGGAAAAGGACCTGGTGAGTACTTTAAACCAGAGAAAAGTGGCCTTTTAAACGATCTCTTGAAACTTTTGGGAGCATTATTCACAGATTCTGAATTAATGCAAAATTGAATTCATTTCCCTGGTTTGATTATTACTTAATTACTAATAATTATTATTTTCGTGCTTGATTATTCTCAAACACAGGTGAATATTTCTGTATATAAACTGTTAAATGAAGTTTACTCGCTGTGAGCTGGAAACTGATTTCTAGGATGAGCCTGCCACACTGAGCACCATACCAGGCAAACCTCTTTTATGCCAGATTAGATTATTTTATTGTCTTTATTAATGATTTTCTCCCTGCATTGCAAACAGCAAGGTGGATTAGGACTGTAAGGGGCTCTTGTATATTATTGTCACATCTCCTTGCGACTCTGAGAGATGAATTTCACCCCTGTGGAGCACAGCACCCCCATCTCTGCTGGGATTTGTGGTTGCTTCGGCTTTGGCTTTGCTGCTGGTGGTTGCTCTCTCACATCTGCTGCTTCCTGTAGATTCAGGGCTGTAAATTCATGGCCACAGACTTGCCGATGGCTGGGCACATCCTCCCCTTGCTAGAAGTTGGCAGCAGCCCATGAACTGCCTGGAAATGCTGTTGCTGTGCGGCACCGCTGAAGAGCTGCCCATTGATGCACAACTTCCTGCTGTAATGTACCAAAGCAAGTGTTTGTTGTGGATCCCTGTAAGAAAAACACTCTTGAGTCCATAAAATATCAATTAAACCATCTTTTATTGGTGAAAATGAGGATAGCAAAGACAATCTTAATATCCCTTCACATGCAGGTAATTCTGAGGTGCACAGCATCAGCTGGGGCACAGATCTGTCCGTGCTGCAGCTCATCCTGAGGTTCTCAGCGTCTGAAGGGACATAAGCTTATCTATGCTATCCCTTTTATCTTCACACCAGTAAAAGATGTTACAATTAATACTTCACAGAGTCCAAGTGCCTTTCTCACTGGGATCTGCGGCAAGCGCTTGTTCTGGTGGGTTACACCATGTCTGTGACCACTGAGGGTTGGACCATACATCCTGCCAACCCCGGCAGAGCTGGGCTCTCCAGAAGAGTTGGGGCAGATGAGATGGTTGAGTTGTGGCTGTGAGCAGTGTGGGGTTGAAAGCCATCAGGAGCATCATTTCCCTAGAGCTTCCCCACCCCCACATGGTTACTGGTGGATGAGAAGCTGGACATGAGCCACCAATGTGCATCTGCAGCCCAGAAACCAACCCCAGCCTGGGCTGCATCACAAGAAGTGTGGCCAGCAGGGCCAGGGAGGGGATTCTGCCCCTCTGCTCTGCTCTGCTCTGACCCCACCTGCAGGGCTGTGTCCAGCTTTGGAGTCCCCAGCACAAAAAGGACATTGAAGTGCTGGAGCGGGGCCAGAGGAGACCACAAAGATGCTCAGGGGCTGGAGCAGCTCTGCTATGAAGACAGGTTGAGAGAGTTGGGGTTGTTCAGCCTGGAGAAGAGAAGGCTCTGGGGGGACCTTATAGCGACCTTCCAGGACCTGAAAGGTGCCTGTAAGAAATCTGAGAAGAGCTGTTCACTGGGGCATGGAGCGATAGGATGAGGGGTGATGGTTTTAAACTGGAAAAGAGGAGATTTAGGTTGGATCTGAGGAAAAAGCTCTTCCCCATGAGGTGGTAGATCAGTGGCACAGGTTGCCCAGAGAGGTGGTGCAGGCCCCATCCCTGGAGATATTCAAGGCCAGGCTTGATGGGGCTGTGAGCAACCTGATGTGGTGCCAATGTCCCTGCTGACTGCAGGGGTTGGACTGGCTGAGCTGTAAAGGTCCCTTCCAACCCAACACATTCTGTGATATTATATATGTTTCAAACCCACATCCTTGTGCAAGACCCGAATGAAAATGAAAGGGTGGCTGGGGCTTGATGGGGTTACCTGAAGCCAGCTTCTCTCCTCTGGGTGCTGGGTGATGCCTCTCAGCTCTGCATCAGGTGGCTGCTGCCTTAGGGCTTGATTTCCCTCCTCACCTGCCTGAAAATCATCCTCTTGGTGAGAAACCTCAGCTATTTCATTGAGCTGGATGTATGCAGGGGAAATGCTGGCTCTTTTTCCTTCTGCTCTGCTGGCTTGAGACAACCGAAGCGAGGAGCAGAACAGTAGTTCTGAGGAGTGAATGTTACACTGAAATTCTTCAGCGTTTCCAAAGTTGTTCTGTTGTCCTGGAGAAATCTGGCTGTGGGCAGCAGTCCAACCCTCTGTTATGTCTGAACGTACTGAATGGGATCAGCGAAGTTTCACAGAGCGTTGGAAGCCCTGGGGTTATTCAGTTCCTGTGAGTTTCCTGAAAAGATGTGTCTGCATGGAAGAAAGGGATTCAAATGGGTGTCCCCACGGAGGGAAAGGCGGCCCAAGCCAAGCTCTGCGATGAGGCATCAAACAACACCCAAACACAAGAAAATCCACGTTAAGCGCACGTCACTATTTAGACATGCGGTCATCCAGCTCTGAGACAGAGTTTGCAGGCGTCTCTTAGGCTCAGCAACTTTTTTCCCCTCATATTCATTGATACTGATGCTGCAAACAAGCAAACTGCAGGGCCTGAACTTCACAAGCTTGTGGCTTGTGCTTTGTCAGATGCTGGTGTCCAGCTTTGCATTCCCTGCAGTGAAAACCTCCCCCCTTGGGTTTGAGATTCCTGGCTGAGACGCCCAGGAGCTTTTGAGCTTCAGGGACTGAAATTATTAACCTTGTTCGTTAATTACAGCTCAGTTTGCTTGAGTGTATTTGTTATTTAAGAAACAGATGTGAGGAATTTGAGGGCTGAATAGCAGCATAAATTGGACGCTTTTGGTTGCAGGTCCCAGTTGAGCCATGTGGCATGAAACGAACGGTGTCCTCCTCAACTGGGAATAAACTGGTGGTGTTGGCACTTGTTTACTGGCAATCAGGGCTCGTTGACAGTTACGCTGTGTGATATAAAATGTGCTAAAGAGGAAAGGGAGTGGTTGCTCTAACTTTGTATGTCTTTCTTATAGGCAATCATCAAATATTTACAAGATCAAGGAGTCCTTATCCTCCTCACGTCCTCTGCCTTGGCACGAGATGATGGTAAGGTGGCTACATAGAAACCAATATCTGTGTTTAGAAGTCCTGCTCTTAGAGACAGAGGGTGGGCACCTTCAGTCTAAACAAAACCTGTTGCTTTCTTTCATAGGGTTTGACCCCAAGGAGCCCGTCAGCCTCCTGGCCCTGTTTCTGTTCACCTCGTCGCGGTCGATGTGCCTGAGAGGTAGGGAAGTTCCCTTGGCTGCTTTCAGACATTATATTTTGAGTGTGAGATCTTCACAGATTCCTCTTGAAGAGCTGATTTCTCTGCTCAAAACCACCTACAGCTTTAGCACAAAGGGTTTTAAATGAGGAGAGAGAAGTCCCAGCTCTGGCTATGCTGCATTTTAAGCTGATCCAAACCAGGTTCCTTGCCTCATCCATTCACTGCACATCCTTGCCCTGTTACAGAAAGTTGGTGGGTGTGACAGATAATTACTTCTCTCCCTCTCAGTCAGTTTTCATCAGCATCCACTCCCTGAACTGTCTTCTGTGTGCACATGGGAGTCTGCCTCCTGCAGAGCTTGGCTTACGTCCCTTAAAGGTGCACTGGAGCCGTGCTCAGAGGGGCGAAATGACACAGCAGTCACTGGACCATGCATGGAGCTTATGTGATTTGCTAAGCCAGCAGGAAAGCAGCCTAAAAAAATATAAGTGAACTGTTTTTTTGCTGAGATAACTGGTGAAATGGGCTCCATGAAAGGTCACTGCTGATGTGGGCAGGGAGAGGAGAGACGGGGAAGGGCCTTTGCTCCTCAATGGAGGCTCAGCTGCATTCACAGAATCATTAGGGTTGGAAGAGACCTCTAAGATCATCAAGTCCAACCGTCAACCCAACCCCACCATGGCCACTGAACCATGTCCTGAAGTGACTTCTCTGCTGTGGGATCTGTAAATGCTGGAAGCAGAGCCATGACGACCGGTCAGGGTGTTTGCCAAGTGAGGAGGGAGGCAGGGAGATGGTGTTGGGCAGAGCCACGGTGCTTTGCTGCCATCAAGGTGAGTCACAGCTCACCTGGGAGGTGAATCCAAGCTGTTTGCAGCCCCAAAACGTGCTGCTTTTCATGCAGAACAAACAGATAAAATACAGATTGCACCGTTTGAACCTGCAGATCTTGAACTAAGAACAAGCTTCAACCTGTGTTGCACCTGCCTCAAATTTTCTCTGTCTTCTGGCTTTATACTTCACTGTCTATGTGGAAATATTCACACTATAATTTCCTGCTGTGGATGTAAAGCAAGTTACTGGACAGCTTCCTCTGTGCAACTGTCACTGCATCCACTCCACCGGGAATATCTCTGGCCTTGCAGATCCCCGAGCAACGTGTAAACAGGGGCCTTTGGCTCTGCGTAACTTCTGGCTTGCTTTTTGTTGAGTCATCCTAGAGCCAAGCCAAGAGCCTGTTTATGCCAGCACACACTGGTATTTCGGTCCACCCTTACGTGAGCGATGGCTGGCATTGCCAACGTTGCTGCACGGGATGTGCTCATCACCCCTCCTTGGAAGATAAGATCTGCAGAAGAGCTGACAGGACCCACCAGCACATGGATTTCTTTGGGTGTTTAAGGTCCAGCTGTAAACTTTCTCCTTCAGGATCCGCGTACGAAGTGGACTTGTGAGTCAGGTGAAGATGTGGTGGTAACTTGGCAGTGCAGGGTGTGAGTGTCTTTGCTGCCTGAACTTTAAGGGCTTTAGGTCAGCCTGACTTTAAGGATGTGCTGCTGGTGGCCGTGTTAGTGTAGCAACCTTTTGAGTTTGTTTTTTAGGTATAGGATAGAGGCAAGTTCCACCTGAGGCAGACTGAAGATCCAAAGTACCAGGTCAAACCTGGGATCAGGTTGTTGCTGTGACACCCGAATTTGGATGAGGTGAAGGGGAAGAACACCTGGAAACCAGACTGGAGGTGGGAGCTGACCACACAGATACTGAGATCTTGCTTTACAGCCCCCAAACAGGCAGAAAATACCCTCCAGAGCAGGGTATGCTGGGGTAGAGAACAGGGCAAGGAGGTTTTTGTCTTGAAGAGGGTTATTGTGGAAGAAGGTGGTGGAAACAGGAGAGAGCACCGGGCATAAGGAGCATCCCCAGGTGCCAGTGGCCGGTTTTTAGGAAGGTTGAGGGCTATAGCAGATGTTGCCTGTGGCTGATGTTGACGCTAAAGAAGAGGTGAAGAGAGCAGCTGGTGGCAAAGCGAAGAGGCAGGAAGAGTGGATGACATTGAGTAAACGCTCCACGTTGTTACGTGTCGTGATCCAAACACTGATGGCTTCCAGATGTTTTTCCCTCTGGTGCCAGCAGGAGCCCTGCCTGTGCTGTCCTGTTCTGCCTATGCAAGCAGCATTACCCCAGCCAGCTTTGACTGTCCCCTGGGTCCAAGACTTTTTTGCTGGCATTATAAACCCTTTTTCCTTTAGGGCTTCTCCTTTACATGAAGACAAGCAGAGCCGTGCAGGGTTTTGGGGTTGAAAAGAGCCGGTCACCGAAGACAGCAGGGGAGATGCAAAGAGAAGAGGGTGGAGGATGGACGCATTTGAAGTCTGAGCTCAAACTCAAGGCATGAATAATGTTTCCCATTTCAAAACAAGCGGCCTCTGAAGCTGTTCCCTTCCTGTCCAGACAGCCGTCGGGAGGAATTTAGGGCAGGCATAACAAGACGTGCCGCAGCCTTCCCGAGCCAGCAGCGGAGGCAGGCGGCTGGGAGCCTGCTCATGAGGAAACAAGGACCAGCATCACCAGTGCACGACAGGGCCAAGAGGGGAAGAAAATCACGCGTCTGGGAGGGGAAGAGAAACGCCTCTGCCTTGCTGGGAAGAGATGTGACAGGGAAGGGAGGCACTGGGGTTGTCAGCCTGGCTCTGCAGCCAAAAGAAACCTTGGAATCGGATCATGACACGCAGACAGACCAAGCCTGTGGATGCAAAGCTGGATGAAGCCAGATAAGTTTGGCTTGTGCAGAAAGGGAGCTGCACTGATATATCTGCATATCACACCGGCTCTCCAGGTGTTTTTAGACACTGAGGGGACACTGCTGTGCCAAGCAGAGCCTCCTGCCACGGTGACATCTGCAAGGGCTGGCACCCTCGAGCCTTGGGATGCTGTACCTGGTAGGGTGTTAGTCCTGCCAAAATGAGAAACACCAACTGTTTTCAGTAGGATCAATCCTCCAGCTTTAGAAAATCACCCCAGGGGTTCATGGTATTTATTTGATGTGGTCCCCAGGACTGCTTGGGGAAGTTTGTGTGCCCCATCCCGCTCCAGAGCACCGATGTGGTGTCTCCATGGGAAGTCTCCCCACGCTGGCAGCAGGTGGAGATGAAGCTGCTGGGAGTTGCGTCTGAAAAGGGACAGAAACAACACAACTGATCTGAAAACTGTGTTGAGCTACACACCCTGCATGGGCAACCCTAAATTCAAACAGGTTTTAAAAAAAATCAGTAAAACTCATATATTTTCAGAGCTCTGACTGCCCTAAATGTTGGATTTAGCGAGAATTGCTGGAGTGAAGGGACTTAGACCCCTGTGTGTGATCCCACCCTGTAATTTCCTGCAGAACGGGGCTAGCTCATACAGCAGCAACCTTTCATCTCACTTTAACCCACTTTTGACTCCTACATGCAATTCTTCTTTACCATCAGCAGTTACAAGCATCCATCAAACGAGGACATGGCTTTTGTGTAGGTTGGTTTGGGGGCTTTTTCGTAGCTTTCACGTTCTCTTCGCACGTAACAGAGAGGTGATTTGGGGCAATTTAATCCTTTTTTTAAATATGAGTAAAACTCTGTGATTTTCCTTTCACAGTTGAAAAGCACGATCCGAAAGATGAAAGGGAGGATGCTGACGATAGAGACATCTCATTAAAAATAGCTTCAGTGATGCCTGGACTTCGCTATGCCTTACAGAAAGCCACCAATTCTTCATGGGGGGACACGGTCAGTACCAGCAGATGTATCACACAGCACCTCCAGGAATACACAAAGCTCCATCAAAATACGCAGCCCACCTCTGGCCAGACCAGCGACGTTCCCCTTTCTTCTCCCTTCTCGCCAGTTAAGGATGAATGTATTAACCCCACCAAAAAATGCTCAGCCCGGTCCTTCTCCCAGCTGCAGCGTTACCTCTCCGATCCCAGCAGCTACACCCTGGAAATGGCAGCTGCTTTAGGATGTTTGAGTGCTGCTGCTCGGTCTCTTCGCTGCGATGGTGAAGTGGATTTCTCTTCAGCTCCGCCACCGGCCCCTATTCCTCCCAACACAGCAGTAGAAATAAAAGCCAAAAGTAAAAGCTCAAAGCCCACAGTGAGGCTGGACCAGAGTGGTGAAGGCCCCACGAAAGACGTCAACTCAGCCAGCAAACCGTGGGTGCAACAGAGCAGGAGGAAATCCAGCCGAACCCTTGTGACCAGGAAGAAATGGTCACCCCTCAAGATGCAAATGCATCCCATGGGGGACGGCAGCAGGAACAGGAGAGCAAGCAAGAGGAAGAAAATCAACATCGCTTTCTCATTCCCTAAAAAGCCGGGGCTCTCGGCCAATTCCAGCGAGCCCATGCTTAAATTGGCCAATTTGCAGTTTCCACACAGAAGGAAAAGAGGTGAGTGCTGCATAAACGGGGCTGGCTTTCCCCTGGGGTATCCAGCTGCAATATTTGGGGTTCACTAGGAGCCCTTACGTAGGTCACCATCTGCTTTATCTGGTCACGTTGTGATGGCCTGAAAGTCAACGTTCTTGCTGTAACCTTGAGGAAACTGAAGCGTGAGATGGATCCCACCCAAATTCCTCTGCTGAAAGTTGGTACCTGGCATAAGTTGGCCTCTGAAGGCTCCTGTCTCACTGCCAAGGATGGGCTAAGCCTGTCTGAGTCTCCCCCTCACTTGCACAGACACTCAGAGTGGGTTGAGGTGAGTGTTTGGTGGTGAAACATGGCCAAAACCATCCAAAAGACCCCCTTGCCTGCAAAGTTTGTGTCATACTCAGCGACTTCCCCATATGGATTTGAGAGAGGCTCTCGTGTGCTTGTTGGAGAGGTAAATAAATACCCTCAGGGTGCATGTGCCCCAGGCAGGTATTAGAGTGACTTATCCCCAGGGAACACCTATTTTAGGTCAGGAAAGCCTTTAATGAGCTGAAGAAGTGATGCTTAATTTTTAATAACCATTTATTAATCACTCGCATCCGTAGCAAACCCATTTGTAAGATCAAATGCATAAATCAGGGCTGCTGCCAATCACTTCTAGACCAGTCCTTCCATATTCCCTAGCTGCATATTTTGCAATTAACTCCTTTTTAATCTGAATATGTCTCAAACCAAAACCAAATGCCCTCCCTTGCCCCTCAGTTCAAGAAGGACAGGAACTGCTGGAGAGAGTCCAGCGTAGGGCTACAAAGATGATTAAGGGAGTGGAGCATCTCCCTTCTGAGGAGCGGCTGAGGGAGCTGGGTCTCTTTAGTTTGCAGAAGAGGAGACTGAGGGGAGACCTCATTCATGTTTAGAAATATTTAAAGGGTGAGTGTCACGAGGATGGAGCCAGGCTCTTCTCGGTGACAAACAATGATAGGACAAGGGGTAACGGACACAAACTGGAACACAGGAGGTTCCACTTCAATTGGAGAAGAAACTTCTTCTCAGTGAGGGTGACAGAGCACTGGCCCAGGCTGCCCAGAGAGGTTGTGGAGTCTCCTTCTCTGGAGACATTCAAAACCCGCCTGGACGCCTTCCTGTGTAACCTCATCTGGGTGTTCCTGCTCCGGCAGGGGGATTGGACTGGATGAGATTTGGAGGTCCCTTCCAACCCCTAACGTTCTGTGATTCTGTGATTCCCTTTTCCCCCTTCCAGGCGCAGAGGTCCTGTCTGCAGAATTTGTGCACAAATCACAGTCTGAACCTGTTCAGGAGGAAACCTCAGCTCCTGATGATCCTGGCTTGGAAAAGAAGAGACCAAAGACACTGAGGAGCCAAGAGGTGAAAAAGGATCTTGTTTCTGAGACCGTCACAAAGCCACGGAGAAGTAACATGCTAAAAAGTGTGGCCAACAACAGCCCAGTGAATCCTCAAGCCAAAAACCAAGCAGAAAATGGTAAGAACGCTGTTCCCTGCGCAGATCTTTCGCTTAAAAGCTGAGCCATCAAACATCCCCATCAGGTCAGGATTGGATGGTAACAAAACCAAGTGTAGCAGCAGCCTAAGGGCCTTAAGACATTTGGTGCCGCAGGGTTGGGTTAGGATCTGGGTGCTGCTGCCCCCCAGCCTCCCAGTTACACATTTGCATATAAAATACAAAGGTGACCGTGAAAATCATCATTACAGGATGCCCAGACCATGCAGGGTCTCTTCTGAATCCTTTCCTAAGCTCACAGTTTGTCAATCAGGTTAAAAAGTCTGATTTTTAGCTGCTGAGCTCTGAAATTGTGTTGAGGCAGGGACAGAGCATTGCAACCTCAGGTCATAGCCAAGATTTTTAGTCCATTATGGATCCGTCTCTGGCCTTTTTGTTCCCCTTTGTGGTGAAGGTGGAAACTTTGAAGACTGGTTTGGCCACCTCGGCGCAGTTTATCCATTATTTTTGGTCTTTTATTGCCACATATCCTTGAAACGTGGATCTGGCCATTGCTCCCATGCAGGCAGGGAGTCAGATGGGTCCTGCCAAATGCCAGGATCTGCCAGAAATACAAAATAAAGAGCGTTTAGCAGCAAGAAATACTCAATTTATACCGTGTCTTACTGTGCCAAATGAAATGCAACACGTAGGACTTTAGCACAGCTGCGATTTAATCAGGTTTTACTTGAAGGGAGATTTTTGGGGCTGGTTTTTGGTAGAAGGCTTTAACCTTCTTTAATGACTTCATACTGGTTTTACACACACGGGCCTCGAGCCGTGGCGAGGGGCATTTTTAACACTGACAACTGAATGGATGCTTAATTTGTTGTGCCTCTGGGAGCCCCCAGGTCTTCCTCTGTGTTTTAGAGGAGATCTTTTGTAACTGTGGCTTATTGAAAGCGTAGCACAGGGTGCATCTGAGAAACTTGTGAACACTCAGACTAGAAGATGGTTTAAAGAGAAGAAAAAAGGATTAAGGAAACACTTCAGATACCTGAGGTTGTATTTAAGTGGCCAAGCTGCCTGTGCACAGAGGCCAAAGGGAATTTTGGTCGCTCTCGTTCCTTTTATTTTTGAGAATAAACCCCTTTGCTGAAGCTGCTTCAATCCCAACTCTGGACCTTTTTGTAGCAGCCATGGTTTTGGAGCATGATCATTTAAATGTACAAATTCCATGTTGGAGAGACACCTTTTCCCGACCAAACCGAACGCCTGCTCCAAACCCCTTCTCGAGGCAGAGCTCTGTGGCTTTTATTCATTCTCTGACTTAGTTTTTTTCTCTTGCAGAGCAAAAGGAGCCATCCTTGGTCCTCCCAAGCAAAGTTTCTTCCCAAAACCACGGAGCAGATGACCAAACAAGTGGGATTTCCCCCAGCAGAGGTGTCACTGATCTTGGTTTCGATCTGAAGGGGAACGACTACGAGTCCCACGCCTTGAACTTGCTGGCTGACCTGGCTCTGGGTTCCTGTATCCCTTCGTGTATCCCCAGGGACGAGGGGATCATCGCTGCATCCTGCAGCCCCTCCGGTGACGCTGCAAAGGAGCAGCAGAGCCATTGCAAGCAGAAATCCTCACGCGTTGCCTCCGACCACGAATACCACAGGGTAGACAAGCTCGCAAAGGGACCCAGCTCTCCTAGCAAAGCGTCGCCGAACCAG